CACAGAACTTTGAGGAACACCATGGGCGAAGGAGTTGGAAGAGGCCACAAACTTGGAGAGGGTAAGAGGAGAACCACTCCAGAGCAGTTCCTGATAGGCCTACCCAGGTTTTCAGCATATCCCATTTAAAAAATAAGTGCAAATCTCAGTAGTTTTTGTGGGTATTTTTTTGAGACAATAACAGACAAATTCAAATGTTAAAGTTGTAAAACAAAATTTGAAATAATAGCTGAAATAGCTGTTCAAAATGTAGTCCTTTTTCAGAAATGTTTGTGTTTCTCAGATTTGAGGTAAATAGGTTAATAGGCTAAACTCGCCACAGGGACCAATTTAATGTGCCAACCCGTAATGGTCACTGGCCTAATCTGGTCCCTTGTGAAAATTTTCTGGGGGCGCCACTGTGTAAAATAGGTAGAAGTGACAGAAACAAAAGAATTAGTGGACAGAATTAATGAAAGGCCATGGATGGTATGCATTTTTCAAATATTTTAATGATTTTATCTTATCTTTATGTTCAAAAGTTATGAGCCATTAAACAAAGCTTCTGAACTTCTCCTGTGGAAGCTACAAAAAGGTTTTTAATTTTCAGACTTTTATCCTGTTTATTTTTGTAATCATAATCTTCACACTCGACTGAGCAACTCGCTCAAGTGCCAAAAGATATGACTGGATGTTATAAATATGGGAAACCAATTTAAAGAACACTTGTTTAATTATTCATTTCTTAATTTACTGCCAAAAGTAATTGGTGATCTAAAGTCAACAGAGTGCGCCAGGAGGAGAGCGCCTGATATTATTAGCCTTCTGTTCTCATGACACAACAGATTGGCTTTCAGTGCATGTCTGCCTTAGGCTAATGTCTGTTTTCAGCCCTAAAAGATAAACTGGAAATGTTGCATGTAAATAATTAAGTGCACGGGTAGATGATGGAGTCCTGTCATGAATATCTTTAAGTGGTATGATCATCAACCGTGAATAACGCTTCTAAGGTGAGAGGGAATAAAATGTTTCCTCCAATTGAAAATTCCTGCTCCTGTCTAAATGAGACTCGATGGAATTGTGAAGGGTAAAAATTTCTCCTTTTCACCAAGGTGGCTGATGGGCAGTGTTGTCAGCCAGTCTGGTTAAGTGAAGAAAAATAATTAAGTGTGAGCAGAGATGGAACTTGTTTTTTCACTCCAGCGCCAGTTGTCTGAATGTCAAGGCAAAATGGGGATTTATCCGCCACAGCGAAGGCAGAGGAGTTGAAGAAGTCAGCGTTGAGTCATGAGACCTCATCAGATAGAAAAATCTTGGCATTTAAACCTTCGTGGCTAACTGTTGCCTTAATGTCACAGGAGTGAAATGGAGGGCACGAGAGTCATTAGAGCCATGTATCTGGGGGTCGATTCAGAAAATAAATAGATAATGAGACGTGTGGTCCCAAACCTTTAAGGGGGAGCCATTTTGTGATGACATAAGCAAAAATTCAACCTCTTGTTTACTTGACAAATTAATTGGTTTATTATTGTTTGTCTGACAGACTGTGTAATTTCATTTCCCTGTGTGTATTTTCCTTTTCTCATCAGTCTGTGAGATTTTTTGTGATGAAAGCTCAGCAGTAATTACCTTCCTGCGGCTGAGAAGCTGCAAGGCTATCTCTGCTGATGAAGGTTTACAGGTGTTGAATTAAAGATGTGCCACAGCTGCACCGAGTGGCCATGCATAATGTCATCTCCTCTGGCATTGTGGGAGATCCTTGCTGATGCGGCACAATTTATGAATGTGAGCACATACACACACACACACACACAACTAGTCATTACATAATATTAGAAAAGCAGGCGGAGTCACTGATGTGCGAATAGGTAACCATGGCTTTCCAGACTGATCCTGGAAAACGGACTGGGCCAGAGTGAGAAAATCAGATTTTGGTCCATGTGCTCCAGTCATAGTGGCTGAAATGTAATAAATGGACCTCATCAAGGACAGCTTTGTGTCTCTGTCAGAATGTGACAGAAGTGCCCTTAACCTTGGTTTTAAAAACTCAAACATCGGGTTTCTACTTTGACCTTTTTACCGTTTTTCCACCCAAACTCAGATGAATCACCTGCATGTTTTCACTGCACAGATGACATTTGATTCATGAGAATTTAATATTTTTTAAGGCTTGAAAACAGCTCTGTTTCTGTCTTGGAGTGAAAAATGAAAGAAAAATCAGCAAAAAGTGGTTCAGACATTTATTATTGATATTGTTATCTACAAGAGATTTATTAACTTTTTATTCAGAGACAGAAAGAAGGATGGCGTCTAGTCAGTCTCTTTGTTTTTCCAAGCATTCGTCTAACTTCCACACATCAAAACACGACTGAAAATAACAAATGGAAGGTGACATTAACCGGACAGGATAGGTAGGCTAACACTAACATGGGTGTGAGTTTGTTTTAACATCGGAGTAAAAATTACACACAGTTGTGTGTGTGTGTGTGTGTGTGTGTGTGTGTGTGTGTGTGTGTGTGTGTGTGTGTGTGTGTGTGTGTGTGTGTGTGTGTATGTGTGTGTGTGTGTGTGTGTGTGTGTGTGTGTGTGTGTGTGTGTGTGTGTGTGTGTGTGTGTGTGTGTGTGTGTGTGTGTGTGTGTGTGTGAGATAGTGAAGAGAAATAAATGTTATATCCATGCTCGTGCAGTTTACTTTTATAACCCTCTTAACTCTGTTAAGGTAGCGCGACTCGGGTTGTGAATGACCACAGTCACCAATTCTTGTCATGTGTCTATGCATGTATGTCTGATCTCTGAATTGTGTGTACTGAAACTCTAATTTCCCTCTGGGATTAATAAAGGATTGATTGATTGATTGATTGATTGATTGATTGATTGATTGATTGATTGATTGATTGATTGATTGATTGATTGATTGATTGATTGATTGATTGATTGATTGATGTAAAATATGATCCTGATCATAAACACAAGGATGATGTGTGATTAAAAACATCAAAAGTGATTTATTTCTGCATTCCTCCAGGGGTTTATTTGGTAGCTATTTTTTGTCTATTTACACTGTTTAATATTTGATGTTTACTAAATCCATATTTAGGGATGTTTGTGGATTTACACTTGGACAGAGATTCCTCCTTTCACCCTGAAGCTGTAGTCACATTTGCTGTTGTCACTTAATACAGTTTTCTGTAATCTCATTTGTCAGGTTGATAAATTATTTCCCCATTTTTTATTGATTCCTGGTGAGGGAAGCTAGAAGGTGTATCCACCTTTGTATCTGCAAAAATCAAGCTTAAATTGTTTTTGAAGGACAAATAGATTAAAACAATATTTAAAATGCTGAAGAAGTGAGTTATTTTCCCCAAGGGGCCGCCTTAATGGATCTTATGTCTTTGTGCATTTTACACACTTCACTCTGTCTCATCCTCGCGGGTCTGACCAGCTAAAGGAAGTGGAGCAATGATTCTGTGGCAACAGAATTCAGAGCTTCAATAAAAAGAATTCAAAACATCAAAGTTGAGACAGAAATCTATGTTTTGGGGCCATTTACAATCATAGCTTTTCCTGTAAAAATCTGATTGTTTGCAAAAATGTTAAATGGCATGTATATAGTGACTTCTAGGGTTCTACAACCCCCCAAGGTCTTTCATCCACACACAGCTGCCCTGGGGCTCACTGACAGGAGCAATGCTGAGATGCACTGGTGCCACCAGTCCCTCCAACCACCAGCAGGCAAGAGGCGTGAAATGCCTTGCCCGAGGACACAATGACTGCAACAAATGGGACAAAAACCTGCAACCCTCCAGTTCCAGAGCAGGCACTTAACTCCTCTGCCACCATGGCAAGCTAACGTTCTTAAATATCTGCTCGACAAAACTCTAAATCAATCATATCACACACCCTTGGTCAGGATTCAAACCACCTTGACAAAATTTGTTTTGTTTCCATCATATATTTATATATATATATATACATGTACATATACATATATATATATATATATATATATATATATATATATATATATATATATATATATATATATATACATAAATGATGGACTCCAGTAGCCTCTACAGCCAGCAGATCCCCATCCAGTCCAGAACCTTTGGTATGTGGTGAAACAGGAGGTTCATAACTCACCCAACAAATCTGCATGAACTGTGTGATTATCGTGTCAATAAAAACCATAACTAATGACAAATGTTCCCAACATCCTGTTAAATCGATGCCACATAAGATTAAGACAGTTTAAAGGTAAAAGGGTTCCTACTTCATATGTACCTAGGAAAGTGTCCAGTGAGTGCAAACTGCAGCAACATTTTCTGGGAGGGAGAATAAGCTGTAAAAACTGGGCTTTCTGAGTATAAAATAATAGAAGTCTCTACAGACTTTCAAAGTTGTTTTCTACAAACAGAGGTAGTGGCTACAGTGACTGTTTTGTTCTCAATTTGTCACGATGTCGGTCACGTCTGCCTGATCAGGAAAATCCTTTACTGGCAGAAACAAGGTTGCATCTGTCAGAACGATCAAGGACAATTACATTTTGGAAAGCTAAATATAATATTGAATAAATAAATGCCAGCATGTACCTGATTGTTAATGTGCAGCCTAGCATGTTTTTTTTTTTTTTCAGACTCAGCCTTGAGGTGCTTCTGGTTTGAGTTGGGTACAGATGTGGCTTTGAAGCCGGAACTGAGCAAAGAAAGCAGCTGTGCTGTTTAAACAGAGTTCACAGTCTGCCCACTCTGCTGTCACACCACAGACCGGTGATAATCCAGACCATATGTTTGTTTGTGTCTGTGTGCCTGAGAAAAATGATCCTGTCCCACCTGGGTGTTTTCAGGATGACATCAGGTCCCTCATCGGTCGTGCATCAGATAATCAAGAAGGCATCCATGCCTTCTGCTCCAGCACCACTACTTTGGCTGAAATATTTTTGCTTTTCTTTGTTACCTCAAGTAATTAAAAAATAGCAATTCATCCCCCAGAACCTGCTGTTTTCATGGTTACACACTGACCTGACCCAGCAGCTCTGGGAGTCCCAGCACCTGTCCTGTGAACACTCCCAAGCAGATCAGTATGGAGTTAAACTGGCCAATGAAACCTCTGATGTGTCTTGGAGAAATCTCTCCCAGGTACATGGGGAGAGCACTGAGAGCGATACCTGGTAAGAAAAAAGAAACAAGCACAAATCAAACCTATGTTGAAACACTCTTCTAGAAACATAAAATACCAAACATGTTGCTTGATTTTGCTTCCGTTTCAGGGTTATGTCACTTTACGAAAACAAGCTGGAGCTGGCCATGCCCACCCATCCCCCACTCAGGCTGCTATAAGCTGAGAAGCTCTGACCCTTACTTCACATTGGGAGCTTCAGTGGCACCGAACTTCACTGTTTCAAATAGAATCCCTTATCTGAGGGGTGATTCAAACCAGCCGCAATGCGAACATTTTTAGGTGCGTCCCAGAAGCGGCTTGCCCAGTCTTAAAGGTAGGATTGGGTTCTATTTTTTCCACAAGCTGCTTCTGGGACACCTCGATTTCCACAGTTCACGTAGGGCTAGACTGGACAATCACACACGGTTTCAGTGTAAAACCTCTGGTAATTTTCCAAATAAAAGACCATTGCAGCAATGCTATTTCATGTGGATTACATCAAAACATGTGACCTAACGGCTTATTTACTCCCAGCATTGTTCGACAAGTCTAGTGGTGTGTTTTCGTAACTTTAATCCTGGCAGTGGAGAGAAACAACACCATATATGACATCAAACAGCGATATCAAACACGATTTCCTTCTTTTTGGTTTAATGGTGGGTGGCATCAACAAACCATGACCACTGAAGTCTCAAGGGATTTTGTGATCTCTTGATCTTGCTAACCCTAACCATTAATGATGTCACAAACTGGGAATTTTTAAATATCTTGCTTTAGGCACATAATTCCTGAAACCTAATAGTGAAAATGAATGTTTTTTCCATGTTTGGAGTACTCACAGAAGCGGTAGAGACCAACAAGGCAGCATTAAATGATGCAAAAGGTGAATTTTGCATAATATGTCCCCTATAATAAGCAGTGATGGAGAAAAATTAACTGAAATTTTCAGTTTGTGCTTCATTGCAAAAAGAAACAATATGCTTTCCTGATCTGAAAGTTATAAACAAAGCATTTAAAAGTTATTTAAACTAAATTAAACTCATAGTACTCAAGCTACTGAAATAAAAAAAAGATTTATAGTGAAAATATTTAGATTTTCTTGGTTTACATTATTTAAATTTCACTCAAAATGGATTTAAGCAACTCCACTTGTAGTAACCTGAATATGTAATGACTGGTTATTTCCTTCCAGAGGAGTCTAATGTCTCAAAACAATTATAATTTTGATGTTGATCAGAGATGTGGAAATGTGTCAATTATTCCTCAACCAATCTAAATAAACCTTTGTTCTTTGATTTAATAATAATTGCATGCTGAAGCAGCTTCGTCCTCACACGGTGGTTATTACACACCGTTGCTCTGCTCTTCCTCCGTGGTTATAGATGAGCTCCTGAAACAGAAGGTAATTAAAATGTTGCTGCTTTTTGATCACCACTGAATTTGTATTTTTCCAACAGTTTTCTCTCTTTTTCTCTTAGATGAAGCTTCCCCCAAAGCTGCATCCATTAAAGGATCTGCATTCCTAATTTATTAATATCTACACATAATTATGCATGAAGAAACAACCTGAGCCTGCGTAAATGTTTGCTGTAAACCTTGATCCTGTTTCCAGCTGTAACATTTGGTAAAAAGTTGAAAGTGTTTCTCTGAGGCATTGTTTCACGAGTCAGGTATTTTTAAAGGCAAACAGATCTGTTTACTTGTGATTAAAACCTCCAGGGAAATAGTTTGTTTCATAAAATTTGCATAATGAGAGAGTACTTTTTTTGTTTTACCAAAATGGTTCTTTTTTTTTTAAACACCTCTTGTACAAAGTGCTTGAGATTAATTTAAAAACAGGCTTGCTTTAGATTACACACTTACCGGAGTTCACCCCTATAATAATCCGTCCGATGATGAGCATCTCAAATGATTTGGACATCTTGCCCAGCGACAGCAACAGAGCCGCTGCTACAGCGAAGGTGTTATTCAGCAGCAATGTTCCCTTTCTGAAAAAACAGAAGAAGTATTTATGATTAAAATATATATTATATTAAAACCATATTGACAGACAAATAAATGAAATGTTGCATCTATGGAGCAGCTAAAATGAGAAGGACTGACTACACTAGCTCTCAATTTTGCTCTCCTTTTGTTGCTTTTGTTCAAAATGAATGTTTACTTTTTATGTTTATGAGAATCTAACAGCATCTGATTTTGACTAGCACAAACGGGCCACTCAGAAGTGTAGAATGGAGATAGAAGGGTTCTAATTCAACATTCCAGAAGCAGAGAAGAGGTTGCTGAAGAAAACCCTGTTGTGCTTCTGAATACCACAGAATTTGTTCCATTCTTTATTGCATTTGTAACCAAGAATTGTGGGTGACTTTTTACTGAGTAAACTACAAAAACAAGGTCTTTTGTAGCCAGGTGAAGTCTTAAGAGCTTCTCCTGCAGTGGCGCCCACTGTGAAATTAAAAGAATTGCCTTACAGTCCTAAGATTCGCACACTTGCTGCTCGACAGAAAAGCCTGGAAAACTTGTGATTACTGTTCAGGTGCGAGTTACACTGCATGAGCTGAAAGACTTTATGTTTTCTTAAAACCAGTTGACATTAAACAACTGTGAATTATGGGCACCTCTGACCTTTGCACCACAGCCCATTCAGTTTTTGATTCCTTTTTCATCTCATATTAACAGTTGTATTTTCTACTTTTGACCTTTTTCTTTTTGGACATTTCGACGTTTTATTTTGTTTTACTTTAATGCATTCCAGCACAGATCTCAGGTGACTAAAGGCAAAAAAATTATTTTGTTGTCTCATAAATTGAATGCACAATAAATCATAGAAATATAACAAATTTTATAAATAAATAAATAATTTCCCATGTCACCCTCTGCGGGTGGTCTCCTTCCAAGCTCGGGTCCTCAACCAGAGACCTGGGAGCTTCAGGGTTCTGCGCAGCATCTTAGCTGTTCCTGCTGCACTTTTCTGGACTGAGATGTCTGTCATTTTAAGCTATTGCTTTCAAACTTGTTTCAGTGGTTCTTGAGCCATAAATTTGAGCAAGTTCACACTGGACAGCACTCTGTAGCTCTACGCGATATAAAGCAATCACTGTTTACAGTGGTGGTAGCTAACGTAAAGACTAGCTTTTCCAGCTCGCCAACCATCAATAAAAAGCACAAGAAGAAGATTTTTTTAATGGCATCATGTTAAAGCCGGAAAGTAAAAGTAAGAGAGTAATGTCTTTGGAGGTGAAGCAAAGAGCTTGAAGCTGAGTGAACATCGGCATGGCCTACACGTGTTTGAAGGACCAAAGGAGGCTCACCTGGTGACCTAGGTTTTTTCTACTGGACTCATAAGTAATAATATTTTTGTTTTACCCACCAGTGTGGATCTTTTAACTTTATGGCTTATTTAGTATAATTTGGTTAGTGTTAGCGTTAGCTTGTTGTTAGTGCTAGCAAGAACCGACATCGCCAAAGAGACAGTTTATAACAACGTGTTTAACCCTCTGGAGGCAGGTGTTGCAGATTTGCAACGTTGAAACCTACCTACCTGGTTACTCCACATACGCATTTCATGAGTATTTTTTAACTCAGGAGTACCCCTGAAGGACTTAGTTGTTCATCCTTTTATCGAAACTTATTTTGAGGCTAAGAGCTCAAAAATGAGACTGTTCTCCATAAAATGACCCAACAAAGACAAATCAAGTAGCTCTCATATATGTGTTACATACTTCAGAGGAATGATGTGAGTTCACGGAGAATTGGACAAAACATTTCAAAATTTGTTTCACTTCCCTTGTGCTGCAGGTCCAGAAATATTTTGACTTTAACAGTTTTCCGTCTCACTGACTTGTGCAACAGCCTCCGCTGCAGGTCACACAAAAAATAATAAATATAAGCCCACGATAACATGGTTACTATGGAGCCCTTTTTCAAGTTCCACTTCAAATGAGACCAAAAACATCAAAGACACTTGCACTTTATCTTGGTTTTTGACCCAACATCTCGTCACACTTTAAGGTCTGTCTTCAAATTCACTGAACCAAGCTGGTTCATTTCAAACCCGCAGAGGATTCAGCCTGCAGTGTTCTTCAGGACTGATTTGTTCAATTCTATTTTCACAAAAACACTCAATTCAAATATTTCAGTTCATCTTGAAAATCTCTGATCTTTAGTTGTGTGAAAAAAAATCCATCCTTTAGTAAAATAACATCTGTAGCAGTCTCTGAGGTTGTTCAAAAATAAATATGAATCAACTCATTATCTCCACTTCTATTATAAAAGGCACTTTGAAGATTTTTGCTTCTTGTTTTTAAAACGTCTCCCGAGCTGAGCCAGCGACTAGTGAAGAGACACAACAGCAGAAAAAAAACTTCATGATTTAAGTGTTGGTAAGTTAGAATCCTTTGTCCTTTTTATATTGAACGTGAACAATATCTATATTTTATAAAAAACATTTATCCCACAATAATGAAAATCATTAAATAGCTAAAACACAATTATCCAACATCAGGTTGCCGAGGTAACCCCAAACATCCCTCTCCCAGACAACATTCCACCTCCTCCTAAGTCACTGCCAACCCAGAAAGGACAAACAGTCCCTCCAGTGGCTTCTGTGTCTGCTTTGGCATCTTCTCCCAGTAGGTTTTATCTAACGGGACCAGGAGACAATCCAATCGAATGTTCGAACCACCTCATCTGACTCCTTTTGATGAGGAGGAGGAGCAGCACAGCTCTAAACATCCCCTGGATTTCCCCCCTGTCCACCTTGTTTCAGATGCTTTTCTTTTTTGTTGTTGTTCTTTTTGTTTATGATACAAATCCCACAACTTCATTGAGAACGGGAATGCTATTGATCCAGTGAATGAATAGCTCCGCATCAGCTCAGCTACGTTCTGATTCATCGTTCTGGAAGCAAAATATCAAGATACTAGAACAATTCCATTCAAGGAAGACATAAAAGTACACATTTACTTAGATAAAGTGAACTCTGTTATGATTTGTGAAACATTTTATTCCTAAAATTAGTAATGAGGCAACCAACATGGCGGCCACGCTGGTGATGACGACACGATCACAAGCCCTATTGCAGTTGAAAAAAAAAGTAAAAAGAATGAATTTGTTGTAGTAATAAAGAGTGGAGTTTACCTGATCAAAGTCAAAGTAAAATGTGTTTTCTTTTTCCACTTCTTCAGTAACTGTTTCAAGAGCAGCCTGATTTACATAAATGTCAACAAAAAAGAGAGGAGGGGGTAAAAGTTTTCTTTTATTCACTAATGCATATTTAGCTTCCCTCTCTGACATCTGAATGTCAACTTTTTTAGGACTGGGCTGAAAAAATCAGCAGCAGAAAATCTGAAAGGAAAATTGATAATAACACCGTTGAGTCTAATCAAGACAGTGTGAATGTCATCGCATGGGCAACTCAAGGTGGATCATTAGGGCATCCTAATAGTCCCAAATGACAGACTTGAAGATTCATGAGTCTTCCCCTGCTCTGACATTAGCATCTCCATAATTAGTGGATAATGGATTCTTTTGAATGTGTCTGATTTTTTTTGAAGCAGCAGGGTGATTATGTCAGTGCCTGAGTCAGTCCCTCAGGGGGGCGAGGGGGTACAGGAGCTCTGCTATAATACAGGAAGGTTGTGAAACAACTTGGCTGGCCTGAAAGCTGAGAAACTCATTACTCGGGTGGTGAGATTGGATCTTGGTACAGAGCAGAATAAAATGTCAAACAAAAAGGTTCTGATTTACTGCAAGTCTCCAAAAATATGAACAGATCGTCCAGCGGACATCGAGAGTAACAGAAAACAGAACCTCCTACTCAGTTCTGCATCTTGGTTCATGATGACAGGGAAAGGAACTGGAACTTCTTAGTGGCCACCACCTAATAGGATGCATTGTCCCTGTCACTAACCAGGCACTTCATGAGGATGGTAAGAAAATGCTGATTGTGTCCCACAGCAGCACTCTGGAGAGCCATGAAACTGCATCCTAAAACAGTACGACTGCACTTTACAGATGATGGGACAAGTGCAGTAACATGAGCTTTAAAGAGGATAAAGAAAAATATCCTGCTGCGTTTACAGAAAAGAATCAGAAAGTGTTTTAAAATGAATGAAAACATAATGTCAGTTGGGGGTTAGACCCTGGCAGACAGTTTCCTCATCCAACTCATCAAAGATTTATCAGAAGTATGCCTTATGGATGAAGGTTCATCTTTAACCCAACATCAAGTATATGAGGTAAGTGTTTGAAACAAGCTGGATATGTAACCTTGGTGATGAAGTAGCGGCGCAGTTGACAGGTCAGGCTAAGACCTCGCTCAGGGGCCAATTTGGGCCCTTCGACTTCTTTCACTGATGGGTAAGTGAAGACAGCGCACTCACATGCACTCATGGTGAGTTTGTTTGGTGACACAAAATAATTGTAACCACAATTATGTATCGGGATAACTCAAAAAGCTGGGAAACACAATTAGTCATATTTTTCACCTAAAAAGTGTTTTGTTGTTAAAGGGATGCTTTGCAATTTTTTAAATCATGTTCTTGAGCCAGTATGTGCTAAAATGACCTTTTACAGGGTTAACGAATTCCAGCCAGCCCCTATTGCCCCTTGTGGCCAGACTGTTCCACTTGCAACTTCGGACTGGTGGGCCGCTCTGTTGGGACTTAGAAAAAAATTGAGCTGACATACCTGGCGCTGCAGTCTGCTTCCAGCACATTTCCTGCATGTTTAAGATCATGAACACAGCTGATTTGTTTAATTTAGTGATGATTCACTTCTTTAGACACTGATGAAGGCTGCAAAGACGGGATAACAGGTTTTGCTTTCGGTTCTACTAACGGACATTAGGGGGTGCTAAAAACAAGCCAAAGCTTTCCAGTTCCCCTTAAAAAAATCATGCAAATAAAGCACATCAATGTTCATGAAAGTTGACAAACTACAATAAATCATATGAAATGACTGTTTTAGATCAACAGAAAATGTGTTC